ACCTCACAGTCCACAGCTGTAAGCAGTGAGACGGCCCCTAGTGTCACCCTCACCCCCATCCTGACTTCCATTTTGTAATGGATTCATCTCCCTTGAAATTGTAAAAAAAAAAAAAAAAATGAATAAATAAAATAAAATCCACACACGTTTAACCCATTCTGTGTCGCAGGGTTTCCGGCAGAAAGTGCACCTTACTAAGGCTCTCGGTGACCTAGTTATAAAATGTTCACCCTACATACGATGTTCTAGTTACGAGGCAGAGGACGAAAGAAGGGAGCAAGAAAGGATGAAAGAAAGAGAGAGAGAGAGAGAGAGAGAGAGCAAAAAACAAGCAGATTCATGAAGGGTAAAATGGAACCACTGCTTAGCATCGTCTGTGCGTGGAGAGCTCATCGTTTGGATAAAAGCGCTAAAGAGTAGCCGTTAGCGTGTGCGAAGCCCTGGCTGAGATGATGACGCTCACTCCCGATTCACCCCCCCCCCAACAGTCCCACCGTCCTGGATCTGCCATCTCACCAGGAAGGGGGTGGCGGGGCCACGTTTAGATAGTCGATCTAGCCGACGGTGGACGGGGCCAAAATTAGCAACTCACCCGATTTAGCATCGCCACAGCTACAGAGAACTGCCATTTCCTTCCCAGGAAAACCCGGGCCTGACCCCCGCCCCCCCCCCTTCCCCGACTGGCTGTCTCCCCCCTGAAAACTATTGTGAGGACCCATCCTAGCCGTCAGGGAGGCTACAGACTGGTCCTGAGCAAATAGTTATGGTGGGATTAATGTCGACAGGATTTTACTCAACCAGACCAAAGTGTGTTACGCAGCTGATTTTCCGTCCATCTGTACTGCTGCTTGATGAAGTCTCTCTTAAGGCCGTAGCAACTTAAAAACTGGCACGAGGCCTTCGCTAAACACGACCATACATCCTGCCCCATATTTCAACACATTTCTTTAGTCTAACAAAGGCATCGACCTGGCATCAGGAACATAGTGGGGGTGTCTCTCGGCAGTGTGTAAACGGGGTGTCTCTCGGCAGTGTGTAAACGGGGCGTCTCTCGGCAGTGTGTAAACGGGGCGTCTCTCGGCAGTGTGTAAGTGGGGCGTCTCTCAGCAGTGTGTAAATTGGGTGTCTCTCAGCAGTGTGTAAATGGGGCGTCTCTCAGCAGTGTGTAAATTGGGTGTCTCTCAGCAGTGTGTAAACGGGGTGTCTCTCGGCAGTGTGTAAACGGGGTGTCTCTCAGCAGTGTGTAAATGCAGTGTCTCTCAGCAGTGTGTAAATTGAACTTAATAGGAAGAGTCAAACACCATTGACTAGTCCTTAGTTGGTTTACTTGCAGGGGAATTATGCGACCCAGGAATATTGGTACATGCGCAGAACATCTGTGAGTGTGGTTTTTTATGAATACAAACTTAAATTAAACACTACCATCAACATAATAAGGATTATACTCTCACCTAATGAACCCAGTGCAATACATCCCATAATACAATCAATCAACCTTACGCACTTTAACATTTACTCATTTAGCGGCTGCATATCGCTACTGGTAACACAAAAGGCAAATATATATATATCCGAGAAAATGCAACACACTCGTGAATTAAATGTATATGCCAATATAAACAGTTTTAAAAATAACTTAAACGATGAAGTATTAATGAAATCAGGGAATTACAACTAAATACCGCTTCTACCACTTAGGGAAGTAATGCAGTTATTGGTAAGTGCGCAAGTAACTAATGCAACACTTACTTGTATATCCACGCACACTCTCAAACGTAACAGAAGGGGAGCTTTCGGCTGAGAAGTTAACTAACTAAAAAAACAAACTATACGCGCTGCCTCCCTTGTGCCAGCTGCCTGCATCTTCACTTCGCCCTCTTCCGGTCATACGTCTTACGAACGCACGTTACCAGTCCTCGTACGTGTCAACGTAAAGAAATTATAATAATTACCGGGTCTTTTGTACAGTCTCTCAGCAGTGTGTAAATTGGGTGTCTCTCAGCAGTGTGTAAATGGGGTGTCTCTCAGCAGTGTGTAAATGGGGCTTCTCTCAGCAGTGTGTAAATGGGGTGTCTCTCAGCAGTGTGTAAATGGGGCTTCTCTCAGCAGTGTGTAAATGGGGTGTCTCTCAGCAGTGTGTAAATGGGGTGTCTCTCAGCAGCGTGTAAATGGGGTGTCTCTCAGCAGTGTGTAAATTGGGTGTCTCTCAGCAGTGTGTAAATTGGGTGTCTCTCAGCAGTGCGACTGGTTAAAAGGGAGGTATGTCACGACACATGGACGGCACGCACTGGTACGCAGAGCCGGAATGGGTTGGGATCTTACAGACATGGAAAATGGGTTAGGATTAGGCTGCGGCTGTCCGCTCGGTCCCGGTGGCTCATTTCCGGAGCCTTCTGCAGGTTTTTTTTTCCAAACGGATTTCCCAATTTAATCCGCGGGTAAATAAGGGTCTTGGCTGCTTGGGCTCGTCACGGCTGTATTGTCTCCACAGCAGCCCCCCCTGGCTCACTGATTTGGACTCCCCTTCCAGCAATCACCCTCCGTATTTACATGTGTCTCTGGCCCCAGCTGAGGAGCTTCGTCATGATGAAGATCTGACTGACCTCCAATACTGCCCTGCAGAGGAGCACACAGATCCGGAATATTCCGTATGAAGCTTTGCCTTATTAATGCTAGGAAGACGTAATCCCCACAACAGCCATATGCAGTCAGTGGATGCTTTCTTCACACGTTTTGCCTGCAGAATTCTCTGAGGTCTTGACTCAGTGAGGTGAAGGAGACATTCCTTATGGAGTTTGGTCTGTGACCTTTGTGCTCTTGTCTGACCACATTTCCCTCTGACCAGTTTCATTTTCCCCATCAGAAACTCCCCCTATATGCAGCTTTTCTGTCCATTTTGTTCAAGGGCGACTCAAGGGTTTTTTTTAAGGTGGAGACATAAGAGGGGCCATAATTCATGCACAGGGGCCAACCAATGATATGTTCTGAAATGATGAGTGACAGGCGAAGGGGCACTCCGGGGGCCAATCAGCTGTGGCCCCACCCTGTATATAGCCCTGTCATCTTCTACACCCCCTAGACACCGTACCAAGTGAAAATCACGGAAGGGTGGCTGTTTCTGAGATGCTGGAATCACCACGTCTGAGACCAACAACCATAACATGCTTAGATCATGCCTACTGTCCGCTCCAAAGCTTAGTCGGGTCTCAGTCACATGATTATCTGTTTAGAGGTCCAGGACGCTGGGCTTATTGAGCAGGAGTTCCTAATAACATTGCTGATGAATGAATAGTGACATGACACCACATTCGATACAAGGTTATGGAAAATGGATGGATGGATGGATGGATGTATGAACGGATAAACACGGTAATGGGGTAATGCAGCGTAAGTACGTGGCCTAAGAGGACAGCAATGGGGCTCCTCCAGGGACTTAAAGCAGGTTATGACGCAGGTGGCCCTGGTATCTCTGGGATGTCCGAGATGCTCCCAAAATAAACACCGGCTCCCAGACTCTCCAGAATCAGTATGAACCTCCCGGAAACACGGAGACTCGGGGAGACTTCAGTGGACAATCACGCAGGGCACGGACTGTCGAAAATAAGAGCGGAATTCTTCTGAGGAAAATTTGCCAGGGAAAATACCCGCGGTTTTTAGCATTTAGCGCTGAGTTCTGCTCTAAAAAATACACCCCCATGAAGCTCCCCCAGAAATCAGTTCTGGCAATAACCACCACGCTATATTATTTATAATAATGATATATTAGCTGAGTGATGGTCTGTTCCGCTATTCAGAAAATCATTTGCATCTGCTTTGGTAAACAGGTAGGAGCTGGTTGGCTTTTTGGGGACACTGCGCAGCTGAGAGTGCTGAGAGAGTGCTGAGAGAGTGCTGAGAGAGTGCTGAGAGCCATTCCTCAGCGCTCAGAGTGCTCCCCGTTCACTGCCACCCCCATTGTTAAACAAATGATACACCTGCACTCACTGAGAAAGGCATAAAAAATCTGTAAAAATACTGTTTTACATAAGAGGCTTAATGTTGTTTTCATCTATCAGGCATGTGTGAGATGAGAGTGACTGTTAGAGACTGTTTGTGCAGCAGTCGTGTGTGTTTATGCATTAGTGTGTGAGGGACCAGGACGATGGACAACACAGAGAATCGGTGGGTAGGACTGTTACCTCATATGTCCAGGGTTTGTGGCTTGCATCCTGACTCTTGTTCTGTGTGTGTGTGTGTGTGTGTGTGTGTGTGTCTCCTCCCATCGTCCACAAAGACATACTTAGGCGAACTGGCATCACTAAACTGTCCTTAGTGTGTGATTATGTTTACATACTGTTGCCCATGAGTTTTGACCCTATACTGTACTGGTATTCTGTGCAAGGTAGTCATGTGTCCTGTGCATACAGAGTCATGCTAATGGCTCATTATGACTGTACGCTAAAGAAATGCTTATTAAAGACGGATGGATGATAAGGGCGGGGATACTTTCTTTCAAAGTATTTCTGTCCTAAATTCTCTCCGCTGAGACAGAACACTAAAAATGTAATGACATAAAGGGTATTTCTGTGCTGAGTCTGCTTCTCAACGATGGTGCTCTCAGAATACACCAACAATCAAGGCATTAAAAATATGATTATATTTTTCCTCATTAATTTGCTAAATTACTCCAATGTCAACCCTCCATCTTTTCCATAATAGTACAACGTAACCCTAGTACATGAAACCGGAATCACATCAATGTAGGGGCCATTCTAGGATATTTTTATGATGGGGGACATAGGAGGGACCCTAATTCATACAGAAGGGCCATCCATATCATAAGCCAATGGGATGTTTGAAATTGGTGAGTGACAGGGGAGTAGGCGGTATGGGGACCAATCAGATTTCTGCTGACACCACTGGCTCCACCCCTGTATACTCCCAATGCATCGATTCCAGAGATGGATAACCCAGCCCAGGCCAATTATGAGGGAATTATCTGACCCCACTTAACAAGCTAGAGGTGTCCTAACCTGACACACCTTTAAAATGATGACCATTGTCTAAGGGAGAAACATGCCCTCTCTCCTTGACATCTCATCGTAGATAGGAGCTCGAAGGGCAGCTAAGCCGTGGTGAGACGTCACAGTCAGCGCCGTAGCTTAGCTGGAGATCGCCACCTCTGTGATTCGTCCCTCCCCCATCGCGTTAATAACGTGCCGATTATGGTCGCTCTGTCTTCGTGTCACCCCAGAGGTCTCCGCATTTTCTAAACCCTATTACTGTTCTGACTGCCCCATTATAAAGTATAATTTTGACCTGGACCTTTAATGGAAGCCTTCAGTAGGGACGCGGCTTGCGAGGAACACTAACAGAACTGAGAGGACCTCTTCTGAGGATGGCTGCGGTGATGTAGAATCAATCCGGGAAGGCAGATAGGGAGAAGCCCCAGAGTTTGAACAAATATGTGTCGAGGAGGGTGGGGAACACTGGCAGGGAAGTAGAGACGGATTACGGGAGTAAAAAAGAAAACCGGAGCTGAGCTCCATGTATATAAGCTGGTAGGACATACAATCAGCCACACGCGAAAAAGTCTGCATGATTTTTAGATTTCGTTGGCTTTTATTTACTACAAAAAAAAAGGCTTAAATCTCAGCCCTGTTCACCAGCCAGATGCACCTATAACACGGCTGCAGGCATATTTATAAAAATCAAGCCTATAAAGAGGGTGTCTCATATATTACCTTGAAGAGACAGGAGGAGAACTCTGGCTAAACGGTCCCACCGTGGAACAAAGGCAGATTGATCACTCCTGTTCTCAGAGAGTAAATTAAAAATACAGAATGTTTACCTACGCAGACGCCCACCCAGCCAGGCACGCAATTAAACCAGGCAGCAGAACGGAATTACAAATCGTCCGCTTCCCTATTGGCGCGGCTCATTATGGGATGTTCGGCCAGCGGGCACAGGTAGACGAGCGTCTGTGGGGCGAGCGAGATGTCAGACTTTCTGAGGAAGGAAATCATTTGATGAAGGTGGCGTGGAAGATGCAGATACGCCGAACCTGGTGGAGTTCTGTGCGATTATCTTGGGACATGTGGTGTATGGAGGGTGGGGGGGGCAGGTACATGTTTCTGTATGTCCACCTCAAGCTCGAGGTTTGAATACCTCCAGATATTCCACATATCCTGCCAGCGTTGAGAAGCATGCAGTCAGTTGAACATCTTCTTCCTGCATCACTTAATACTCCCCCTGTGGCATAGGGCTCTGACGAAAGGGGTGTTTCCCAATATGTGTACTTGACTGTACTTGTGCTCTCGCATAAACCCCCCCCCCCAGATTTCATACTTGCCCCGCCCCAAATGTCAAGGATACATCGGTTGCATCCTCGCTAAACGAGAGCGATCCCGTGATTCAAAGTTCATTCTTGGGAAGAAAGTTAGCAAGACCGGTCTTCCCAGAACCACAAGTTCAATCTTGGGTTCTCGGTACTGAGGAACACCCAAGGTCTCCAGGTATCTGGGTCCTGGGTTTAGCCTCTCCAGTGGTGCAGGGTTCCTTGCCATGTCCCCAAAAGCTTCCTGGGAAAGGTTCTGCAGTCACTGTAACCCTATACTCGATAAATGTTTAAGGATCCATATACTGTATGTACGTGCATCACAGTAAAGCAGCGTATAAAGTGGTGCCCATTTTAGCATCAGCTACACAAAAGTGCATGCTCTTGACCTTTCACGTAGATGAAACGCATCGTATTCCATCGCACAGGGTGACACAGCAGCTGAGCCAGGAATGCAGCACGCAAGTAAATCCGCAACACAGAGGACGTACGCCACACATGCCGGCCAATAGGACAGCGGCGCACACGCCAGCCAATAGGAGAACAGAACACAC